TATGTGTATATGTATGTATATATATATGTATGTATATATATGTATGTATAGTGTCACGGGGTGAAGAATCACACGACAAGGATGGCTCAATAAATGCCCCGGAGGGTGGATTTATTTACAAGAGGGTGTGCTAAAGAGAAAGGTCCAGGTGGGTGCTCCGGTGCCGTGAGTGCTCTCTTCCTTCTTCCTAGTGTAGTGGGTCCGTGCTGTGCTCCTGTGGGGCTAGTCGGTCACACACTGCTGTCTGTGGGAGAAATGAGAGGGCGAGTTAATGATCAGTCTCATGGAGAAGTGTCTCCCAGGTGGCAGGGCTTGCGTGGCTTATGTAGCCGCCGCCTGATGAGCTGCAGCTGTGACCGATCAGCCTGTGACGAGGACGGGCAGGTGTTCCTCGCTTGTTTCCAGGGCGACGCTGATGAAGCTTCGGGACGCTCGTCACAATTAACATATTCTACTTTTTAAGATTCTGTTAAGAAACAGGTTACAATCACACTCTCTGTTCATTTCTCTCATTTTCTTTTGCTCTTCGCTGGAATCAACTGTCCTCCTGGAGTTTATTCTGCCCGGATTCCCTCCAAATCTGGCTGCTTTGGACGAGAGCCATAGAAACAGATTCCACCGGTCAGATGATGAGAAAGAAGCAGAATACATGTGTGAGAGAACCAGCAGAGAGGACAGAGAATAAAGAACAGGAAAGGTAGAGTTAAGAGTGGGAAAATGAAAAGAAAAGATTATATTAAAACTGATGGAACAGGTGCAAATAGAAAAGACTTGGTAGGGACAAGAGATAAGAGGGCTGTAATGAATGAGGGAGGTCAGGGAAATTTCTCTCTCTCTCTCTCTTTCACTGTAAATCTCATCTTCTGCTTTGCATTCAGAGGAAGCATTTTGCATTTCTCTGGAATCATCAAAATGTTGTGGTATTCCATTTGGTAATTCCGTCCAGCCTGAGGTGAAGCGAAAGGTGTTTGAAAGTTATGAAAATGTGCTGAGACTGGATTTGCAAGATTATGCAGCTCCACAACAACACTATGCCAGGGAGTTTATGGCCTTAAAATGAGTGAGAGGGATCATATTATTAAATGGATGCCTTTTGGGCCAGTTTAATTTAATTTAATTTATTTAGTTTTTTTATTATTTTATTTTATTTGTATAGTTTTTATAGAAGGAGGGACCATACTATTATACGACTGCCTTTTGGGGACAGTATTTTTATTTATTTATTTATTTATTAGTGACCACAGTATTATACAAACACCATTTGGGAATTATTTTATTTTATTTTATTTGTATATAGCTTTGGTTACATTAAAAATATATTTTGGGATATTATGTTCTCCTAATTTCTGCTCTTTGTTGCATAAAGAATTCCTTAAATGCAAACTTAATTTGATAAAATGAGTTATTTAGAAGTAACTGAAGTAAAAGTCATTCATAAATATCATCTATTCATACTAGTGTAAAAAAGAGGCCTGGCTGTGTGTTTGAAATACGAGACTGGCCACACCATCTGTGTCTGTTGGGAGATATGGCTCATACATCAGTGTTTCCATGTGATAAGGACCAATACAGCTGGTGCCACTTGTATTTCCAGATGATGGTCAAACATTAACAGGCCTTTGCGGTTTCAAGACTTTTAATATTCCAGAAATGACAGAGAGGAACTGACAGCGGGACAAAATTGTCACCTGTATACTTAAACAACTCATGTACTTCCTGAGAGACAGGCTGTTCTCTGTGTGTCCTCACATGGCACTTGCAGCACTCTGAGTGTGTTGACAGAGCAGTGAATTAGTGTATGGAGCGCATTTGTATGGTTGCATGTTGGCTTTAGGCATCACTGACAGGCTTTCAACCATCAAAGCCGCGGTTGTTAACTGTTGACTCAAAAATGGGTTCACAGTGCTAAATGAAAATAATAAATATGCATTGCTATGATAGCAAAATAAATGTGCTCATTAACTTTTAAAAGGGTGGGGAAAATGCTTCCAGTTTGAATAGTTCACCAAAAAATAAAAAAATTAATTTGCTGAAAATGCACTCAGACCTCAGACCATCCAAGATATAGTTGAGTTTGTTTCTTCATCAGAACAGATTTGGAGAAATGTAGCATTACATCACTTGCTCACCACTGGATCCTCTGCAGTGAATGGGTGCCGTCAGAATGAGAGTCCAAAGAGCTGATAAAAACATCACAAAAATCCACACAAGTCCACTTTTTCACTGGCGTAAGCGTTGTTATGGATTATGGACTCATATTTTGGGCAGAAGCGATGGTTTGAAGTTCAAATTGCCTTAATGATGGATTTGTTTCTTACAAAAACACAGCTTTTCCCTTCAAAAGGTGTTAATTGATGGACTGGAGTCGTGTGGATTACTTGTGGATTCTTGTGATGTTTTTATCAGTTGTTTGGACTCTCATTTTGACGGCACCCATTCACTGCAGAGGATCCATTTGTGAGCAAGTGGGTGGAGTTTGCTCTATTTAAAAACTAGCCAACACTAACCTACTTTAGTTATGCACTACCCTTGTTGTAGTTAAACTCATGAAATTATTTAACTATAGTGTCATGTTAACACATACATTTTATGTTTTATATCTATGCTTTTGAAAAAAAAAAAATAATAGAGCTTTGGTTTGTTTCTATTTACCCTGGAACATTAATTTACTTTACTGATATTTTTCCAGGAGCATTTGTCTCACATTTTTCGGTCTCTGCTTGCGGACACAGACATGTGTCTTGGTCCCACATGGAGTACTAAGGTCAAAAGATCCACAATCTAGCTCTGTAATCTAATGCCAAGAAGCTAAAGTAAGCGGAAATTGTTGAGGTGACTGCACACACACACACTCACACCCATTTGAACAATGTTAAATATCTGTTGATAAACACAAGCAAAGAAAAAAAACCTCCAAGAGGAAGATGTATTGTTCAGAGTTTGCACTTGCAAAGCATTATGTTTCATTTCATTTCTCTTAAAGTATATTTAAATATATAAATAGGGAAGAATTCCCATAGTCTCAGAAGAATGTGATAATAAATGAAAAGTCATTTGTTTTATTTTATTTGAATCTGTTTTATCGATTTTTTGAATGGTCTTTTAGTACATGTATGAAAATGCTTAAAAAAATTAGTAAAAAAAATAAAGTTAAACCAAAGTTAAAGTGTTTTTCTTTAGCACAGATTTAGTGCATTATATAAGTTAATGAAATATAGTTTTTTATTATAAATTTAATTGAAACAGTAAAAAAAAAAAAAACTTTAACATTTACAGTCATTTAGTGCATTAATGAAATATAGTTTTTTATTATAAATTTAATTGAAACAGTAAAAAAAAAAAAAACTTAAAAAACTTTAA